ATAAACAAAGTGCGTTAGTATAAGTAATTTATAGACATAATCGTCATTAAAAACAATTAACATCACATATGGTACCTGTATCTCACTCCATATTTTATCTTTAGCGTCGTCCAACACTCTTGCTCTCCAATCTTCACATGTGATTGGAATTTCTCTTCTTACCACGGAACCGAGATAACTTGTCAACGTTGAACCGTTAGGCTCAATGAGTTGGCCTTCTTGGCTCCAATGCACTTCATACTTTATGCCTTGGTCTCTATCCCGTATTATTCTCTTCATTATTGTTATTCCTCTTCTATATTCCATTTCAGTTTTACTAACGACCTTATCTCCATCATGCAGAGAATCATCACGTGGGTGATCGTCGTTAGTAGCCATCTAATAACCTGTAATAAACATAAACATAAACCCAATATCATGTTTCACTATCATGTTTCACCATAAAAATAGAACCAAGATATCATGTTTTATATCATGTTTCACTATCATGTTTCACCATCATATATCATGTTTTATATTCCAAAACATAGAACCAAGAATCCAAAAAATAGTAAAAATGCTAAGTGCTAAAAATGTAATATATTCTAATAACCTGTAATAAACATAAACATAAAAGTAGAACCAAGATATCATGTTTTATATCATGTTTCACCATCATATATCATGTTTTATATTCCAAAACATAGAACTAAGAATCCAAAAAATGCTAAAAATGCTAAGTGCTAAAAATGTTGCTGTTATATATCAAGCCTTGCCAAATGCTAAAAATGCTAAATGTTGTTGTATATCAAGCCCTACCAAATGCTGTTATATATCCAAAAAATGCTAAAAATGCTAAATGCTAAAAATGCTAAAGAACACATTTTCAATGGAGTTAAACACATTTTAAATAAAGAACATACCTTGAGAACCGGCCGGTGTGGGTGGAGGAAAACAGAGCGAGACGGTGGAGGATGGTACGACGGCGAACGGTGGAGGACGATTTGAGACGGAGACGGAAATGGGTTTCGCGAGGGAAAGGGTTTCTGTTTGCGTATGATAGTGATACTGTGAATACAAATGTTCTGCTTTTTAATTCTGACTTATAAGGGTTTAGACAGCGCTTTCTAAAAGCGCTGGCTAAAGTGGACCTTAGACAGCGCTTTTGAAAAGCGCTGGCTAATAGTGACCTTTAGCAGCTCTTTTCTATTATTATTTTTAATTTTTTATGACTTTAGACAGCGCTTTCTTAAAGCGCTGTCTAAAGTGGCCCTTTGCCAACGCTTATGATAAAGCGCTTTCTAAAGCAATCCTTTAGCAGCGCTTTTTAAAAGCGTTGTCTAAGGTCATATATTTAGCAGCGCTTTTACTAATTATTTTATACGTTTTCCGTGTTTTTTTTTTCACTTATAGCAGCGCTTTTGTACAAAAGCGTTGTCTAAGGTGCGCTGTTAAAACTTACTTTTGGCGTAGTGAATAATTTTAGAAACGTAGTAATAATATTGAAATGTCAGTAAAAATGATCATATAATTTGACGGGGCAAATTTGGGGTATGACACATGAAACCGAAGTAAAATATCTTTTTGCAACCAAGGTAAATGTATTTTTTATAATAGTGAATTTAGATGCACCAATCTTCATCGGATTATGATTCCCCTTTATTATACAATCAGATGAAGTAAATGTTACATTGCAATCTATGTAACAAGTGAGTTTAGGGACATAAATTATGTTTGTGTAAAAGTTAGGAATCTATAAGACATTGTTAAGGTAAAACTGATCATTAAATGAATTGTGTTAGAAAAATTAGTGGTTAAGATGACTCCATTAGGAAGCCAAATATTGATAGGTTTAATTTCGGTATTGTGGGTGAATAAACTTATGGAGTGGCACGCATGATTTGATCCCCTTGTATCCAAAATTCATACAACATTATAAAGTTATTTAAATAATTAGGATTTACTGATGGTGAATTGAAGTAAGAATTGAGGCAGTGAATGTTTGTAGCTGGAGAAGTGAGGCTTGCTTGTACCAAAGCTAATAAGTCTTTTGTTGGTATAGAGTAAACCCTATATGGTTAGTATAAACTTCAAATTGATGTGTAAATTTATCTTCTTGGAGATTATCATTAGTTGAGAGGTTAGCAATGTTAGGCTTTTTCAGGTATGAAGGGAGGTTGTGCTTCTTGAAACACACCTCAATCGTGTATGGTGGTTTGTTGCAATAAGTACAAATCTTGATACCTTTGTTTTTGTTGAGAGGGTAGTTTCTTGGATCAATATGAAAAGGGTGACCAAACATGTAGGATTTGCTTATATGAGAAACTATTTTCTCTTCCTCCACCGATGTGATCTGATGTCTTTCTTGTTGAATAAGTAACGAAAAAACATTGTTTATAGGAGGTAATGGGTTTATGAGCATAATCTAGGCTCCAACATGGGCATATTGTTGATTGAGGCTCTTCAAAAATCGGATAAAATAGTTTCTTTCTCTTTAATTTTTTATGCTGAGAATGAGATGACAAATGCATGTCGGGTTGCAACTACATATAGGAAAATGACGAAAAACTTTTATTGTTAGAGCTTTTTTAGGGTTGTAACGATCCGAGTAGTATTCTGATCACCTTGTTTATGAGCATATATCTCTTCTTAAAGATCAGAGCTGCAAAAGATGTCACCTTGAAGGTAACAATCTTGGAGCTCATCCTATATTTTTTGGTCGTATCCATCAGTGTCAACCGAGTTCGTAATCCATATCATAACCATGGCATTACACTGGTCCCAACTGATGGATGTATGATTGGAAGATTCAAGTCGAATTAAGGTTCCATCTTTGAACCTTAATTTATTTTTTGATCAAAGAGTAACTTTTATGAATCTAGACCACGAATAGTATGAGGCATTTTATTGAGCCATAGAAACAAAGAGAAGAAACAATATAGAAGATGAACACGAAGAAAGGATAATTCAGAAGATGATGGTGAAAGAGAGAAAAAACAAAAATCATTAATAAAATATGTAATCTTGATTCTCAGACTAAAATGAATAAGGAGATGAGAATGAATTCTCCTTGTGCAATACTAAGACACCTGAAGAAAAAAAATCTTGAATCGATAAATGATAAATGTCTAATCTCTCTCACCAATAATAGAGTGTATATATATATTGTCATTCAAGAAGAAGAAAAAAGAAAGAAAGAAAAGAAATAGAAAAGATAAATTATATATACTTTAATTACCAACAAATCTAAAATATATAATAACTAAGCATACATTAAGAAATCCACAACTTTTTGAAAATTGAAATAATAAAAAAAAAACGATGTAGTAGAACTTGAAACCAGATTGCTGATCTAATGCTTTGGAAATTATGACCTTACCCAAATAACACCTTATGTGTATAATAACTTGCAATATATTCATCCTGCCCTACAACCCTTGGCCCTACTTTCTTTTTTTAGTCTCTCACACTAAATTATATTATGTAAACAATAATAAAATAATTAATCTTCAAATAACTTTTTTGTCTTAGTAAAAGTTTGAATAGTTCTTATCCTACATCCTTTTCACCCCTTTCACATTCAAAAATCTCTCTCACCATTCACTTTGAGTTTGACCCGTTGCCAGCCACCGGCAATCCTTTTCTCTCTACTCCAATGCCTACCCCACCTTGCACTGTCCAAAGGATTTTCTAAACTTAACCTCTCTATTTTTTTCTAACAACAAACAAACACATAGCTTAAATATATATTCGAGAGTTAAATGATATCATATATTAGATATTGATATTCTTCAGCAAAATTCAATTTAAATTTAGTTAAATGATATCATATATTAGATATTATGTTCAATAAAACTGTATGGTAAAAAAGTTATTAAAAAATTTAAAAGGGTGAAGTATTGATTTGAATTTACAATTATTTAATATATTTAGTGGGTGAGTTCCGCACATAATCTATTTAAACTTTAAATTATTTTATTAATATGATAAAATTTGGTTGAATATTGTATGCAAAATTAATTTAAAATTTAAAATTGTTAATTAAGAAATGAATGTATTATAAATATTTAAAAAATAATTTAAAATAAACTCTAACTTTTTAAATTAAAATAATTTTTTATTAAGAAAAACTAAAAAATACATTTAATATATTTTTTTAAATTATTTAAAATAATATAACTTACCATTAAACTTAACTCATTTTTTATCAAATAGTTTATTAAATAAAATTAATTTTTTAAGATAAATAAAAATAAAATATCGCACTTCGAACACATATATCACCGGGACATAACTTAACAAAATTAAATATAAAATTCATAGACAATTAACAACCAAGAAAATAAATAATATTTGATTAAATAAATAAATTATATAATATAAAATAATAAATTTATAAATAACAATTATATGAAACCTTTATTAAAAATCTTTTAGAGAAGAGCTTTGTTTTTATTTTGAAATATTAAATTTTGCAGTTATATAAAGATATACTCAATTTATAAATAAATAGAAAAACACTAAAAACTTTTATGATATTAGTTGTAGATATATAATAACATTTCTTGTCCTTTCTTTGGCTTATTTTTTTCTCTCTCTTTTCTTCTCACTTTTACTGAAACCCTAATTTTCAAACACACCCCACATGGCCTTTTTGTAATTTACCTCTCAAGGCTTTTCATCTTTTTTTCCTTTCTTTCCCATCTTCACCACCTCTTCCCTAGCCAGTTCTATTATATCATAAACAAGATCTATTCCCCCATCTCTTCTTCTTTTCTCTTCTTTTCATAAAAAAAATTCCTTTTTCTCCATCTAAAAGACAGCCTAGGAAAAGATCTTAGCTTCTAAAGATATTGTTCTCTTTACAAAAGCTTCTTCTCAAAATTAGAAAATTTTCACAGCTTCTTCTCATCACTTCCATAACCTTTTTTCCTATTTTCACTATTTTCAATTCCTTTTTATTACCACTTTTTTTTTTGTTCAGCTTTTGTCTTCATCTACTTTTGCTTAATTTACAAGCTATGGATTCTGGTAATAGTGGGAGCATTTCTTCAAGTGGTGATGAAGAATATGATTCAAGAACTCATCATCCAACACTTCTTCCTTCAAATTTCTTCAATCCACAACCTAATCTTCAATTTAATTCCATCTCACACAATCCACAATTGTTTCATCTTGGATCAAACTCAAACTCAAACTCAGTTTCTTTCTTTGATCTTTCACCAAACTACCTTCACAATCTCTCTCAATCACAACCAAACATAGACACAACTTCATTTCCTCCATCATCTCAAGGACTTTCATCACCACCATCATTACCATTTTCATTACAACAACAACACTTGAACCAATGTTTGTTAACAACTCCTCCAGGTGTTGGTCTTCATGATAACAACAACAGCAACAATAATGCAAGAACAACACCAACACCAACACCGTCACCAGCAACAACAAATAATGCAACAAGAAATTCAAAGAAGAGAACAAGAGCTTCAAGAAGAGCGCCTACAACAGTTCTAACAACCGACACATCGAATTTCAGAGCCATGGTTCAAGAATTCACAGGTATCCCTGCACCGCCTTTTTCAGGTTCATCTTATTCTCGTCGTCTTGATCTTCTCACTTCATCATCTTCTTTAAGATCATCTCACTTTGATACAACAACAACATCTTCTTTTTACCCTCTTCGTCCTTCACCACAGAAGCTTTATCATAATCATCATAATCATCAAAATCCATTGATTTTATCTTCATCTTCATCCTCATCACATAACAACAACATGGTTGATGCAACTGTTAACAATAATTATCATCAACAACTACCAATATCTGATTTGGGTTTACCTTATAATAACCCTCATCATCAACAACAACAACAACATAACTTCATGCTTAGCATGCAAAATCAACAACCTATTCATACATTCAACAACCTTTCCGCATCTTCTTCCCAACAGTTTCATCCTTTTAGCCTAGGAGGTTTTGGTGCAAAGTCACAACAACAAAGTTTATCAGTACAATCTCTTGAAGATCTTGGTGTGAATCAAGGACAAGTGAATGCACATCTTGGTGGTGATAAAGTTGTTGTTGGTTCTTCTTCTACAGGTGATGGTTTGGGTGGCGGTGTAGGAAGTAATTGTAAGGTTAACTTTTCAGGTTCTGGATCAATTACGTTAAACCATGAAAAGACAACGGAGAATAATAATAATGATAATAGTAATAATAATAGTAATAGAGGAGGAGAAGGTGTTGATTCGTGGATTTGTTCTTCTGATTAGGAATATTTTGTAAGATTGCTGATGAGACTAAACTGGTACAGAAAACTTTGTTATGATTACAGAGTGGAATATGATGCTGCAATGAATATTAAGATTATTATCATCATGATGTTCATCATAGTGGGGTGTTGTTGGTGGTTACAATTTGCAGCTAACAATTCTTCTTCTTCTTTTTCTATTTCTTTTCTTTTTTTTTTAAGTTTTGTTTTAAATATATGTATAACTAGTCATCATTATAAAATCAATTTAATCATGTATGATAGATTTGTAAATTGTTAAAAGTTGAATACTCTTTTTTTTAATTTATAGTACTTGATGACCAAATGATCTTTAATGTTATATGATTGTATGTATGATTAGCATTTTATTATAATTGTATAATAAGGATGATCTTCAGAATAAAATGGTCTCAAGTCTTGAAGAGTCTGTGTAGATCAATTATGTAGATCAATTGCATAAAATAGATAGAAATTTTATTTAATTATAATTTAATAGAGACAAATATTTTATGAAATGAGAAAATATGTGATACACTGACCGTGTAAATTTTACACCGTCATTCAATAAATGATATATATATTTTGTTACATCATACTGATAATTTAAAATAATTTTAATGATTTGATAGATTAAAAAATTTTAATTAAATGTCTCTGTAAAATTTCTTTACACTAAGGTGTGTATCCATTAAACTCTTATGAAATTATATTTAATTATGATTTAATTCTAACAAATTTGATGTACAATAGTTTGTCATTCTCTCCTAGACAACTTTTGTTGAGAAGTATTGTTGAGCTCAACAAAAAGACAAATAAAATAAAGGATGATTCAATTCATTAGTATTGTTTCAATGATGAAATGTACATTACAATGAATACATAATATATTTTATGTAGTGATTATTAACAAATTGTAAGTGAAATATAGATTCTAAATGTGATTTAATTGTAATAAATTTTGAGTCATTGTTTGATAATATGTATTGTATGTCCTTATAAACAACATTGCTTGAGAAGTATGGTTGAACTCAACAAGAAAGAAATAAAATAAAAATAATTCCATGATTAGATGTGTATTACAATGAATAAATGATACACTTTATATAATAATCATGTCCGGTTAACAAATCTTAATTGATTTATAATAAAATTAATTAACTAACAATAAACACAATTAACTATAACAATTAACACAATTAACTATAACAATTAACACAAAATTAACTATAACATGTGATAATTCTATTTTGAGGCTATAAATTGCAAGATATTATTGTTATAGAGACAAAACACATTGGAAGCCATTATATGTCCAATAGTTAAAAGTTAAAGCGAATATGCGGCTAAGATTTCCAATAATAAGAAAAATTGTTCCTCGTACGATCTCTTGTCTAGTGCTTGCCTGTTATAAATAAGAAAAACATTGAAAAGTATACTATATACTAGAAAAAATCATGAATAAATTTATCTATAATGAAATTAGTCGGTGAGTGGTGAGTAGTACCATCAATCACGAAGACTCGTGAATTGTAAAAATTTTAAGACATATACACATTAGAAGATTGTGTGCCACAATGCCGGGGAATTGATGTGTTTTTAAAATAAGATTGGATTATGTAGATTTTAATTTTTGGGTCATCATCATTTTTTGAACCTTTGGCTATGGTAACTTTGTTTGTGTTGATGAAGTTACCGGCGGTAAACATAGCACAAACATGTGACGTATTATTGTTAGAACTAGTCATAGTGGTCGGGACTTCTTGGTGGATATTGATTTTCCCATCTGGATCGTGGAGGAGTGTGGTGGTGTGGGCTTGGTTACTCATAAATATAATGTTGCAGTTATTTTTGTCTTATTGGAAACCTCATCCTCATCGAATATTAATGAATTAGAATCGTCATTTGAAGGTTGTGATGTTGTGGAGTTATTTGAGGAAGATGTGGGGTATGTGTAGAAAATTGACTTGAATCATATTGTAGCAGTTAGCTTTGTTTCGCTGGAAACCTCACTGAAAGATGAGGAGTTGGTTTCTTCGTTTGTGGGTTGTGGCGATATTGAGTTGTTCGAGGATGAGACTGTCAGCACAAAAAGGTAACATGTTTGAAGATGTAGTGGATGTAGTGGATGTGTGGGAGGAGGCGTATTTTTCTCTATGGTGGAGGGATGTGTGAGCGGTGTGTGGTCTCCTTATTCATGATGATCCTTGATTTGTTGGTAGCATCTCTTGTCGGTTGGGAAATGGTGAAGACATTAGCTTTTGGGACACTCCTTGGTTATGTCCTACGCCTTTAAAGGTACTTTATCGTCTTTTATTCTATGTTTGTTCTTCTACTCCTTCTGTGGAATTTATGAGTTATTGGGAAGAAGACAATTGGTATTGGGATTTAGGTGTTGAGAAAAAACAATTGGTGGGGGAATGTGTGGTGGAGTGGTCGGAGCTAACTTTCTTGTTGTTAGGTGTTAAGCTAAAATTTGAGTTGGACGATATATTGGTGTGGTGGATGAATGCATAGGGGTTTTCAGTAAAGAATGGTCATAAGTGAGTTTCTTCGTTGAGCTATTCTAATTTGGTTTTATTGGAGGAGAGAAAATATCTTGAGCTTGATAGGTTATGAAAATCTCCTATTTCTTGCAAGGTTAAATTGTTTGGGTGGAGATTCTTTTTTAATGCTTTACCTACTAGACTTGAAATGGGTCATAGGGGAGTGAGGCTTGTTGGTAGTGACACATCTTATCAGCTTTGTGAGTTCGAGTAAGAAACCTTGGATCACCTTTTATTTTGTATTAAAGTGGCGGAACTTTGGAAATATGTTATTATTTGACTTGGGGTTTTTGTTGGTGTGTGTGGATTGGTATAAATAATATGATTTTTGACACCGGGGTTTGGAATGACGTCGCTTCTTTACTTTTCTCTAAGAAAATCGGGTGGGATTGGTTATTTATCTTGTCCAAAGGTGGTGGTGATTTTGTCTGTGACGTTTGGTTCGAAAATCCAGTGGTGTATATTGGTTTGTAGTTTCTAGTTCTTTTGTTGTTTTTAGCACCTTGTTCAGTTGCCTTTCCTTTTGTATTGGGTTAGAATCCCTTGTGCTTTTATATAGAAGTATTTATCGAAAAAAAGTATAAAAAATATTATAATTGAGCGGATAAGATGGAGAGGATAAAAAAGAGACTGGATAATTTTTAATGAAAAGGCAAAATATTCATTTTGGTCCCTTAACTATAGGTTATGGTTCACTTTGTTCCCTTATATTTTTTTTGTGCCAAATTGGTCCCTTAAGTTTCAAAATGTAACCACGTTAGTCCTTCCGTTAGTGAAACGTTAGTTAAATACAAAAAAGACTCCATGTGGCATTTGTCATGCTGAAGTGGCTTGTTGGAGGCAACGTGGCAGAGAATAAGGACAGACAATCTCCAAAACCTCAAGATAGCATATGCATGTTCATTTTGTCCAAAACGAAAGCCAAAGGAAAGAGGAAGAACGAGAATCTGCAGAAGCGAGTTTGAAAAGGCTTGCGAAGCTTGAAAATGTGATTTCTTTCCAGGTAACTATTCTCATATTCGTTGGTAACTGGTATTTAGGGATTTGGGGATTTAGGTATGTTATTCTTATTTTGTCTTCGTAATTGAATATTTGTTATGGGATTTATGGGATTTAGGTTTAATGGATGAATTTCTGAAACTCGTAATTCACCACAGTGGTGAGTTCGTTGATCCAGAGCTTAGTGTCTATGAAGGAGGTCTGGTATCTGAATTGTTAGTAGATGTTGATAGGTGGAGTTACTTCGAGTTAGTTAGTGTATTGAAAGACTTAGGTTATACGGACAATGTAGAGAAAATGTATTACAAAGACCCACAATCTGGGATGAATGAACTAGTTGATGACAAAGGTGCTCTAGAAATTGGGGACATATACAGGGTGCACCATATTGTTCATGTTTACATTCAACACAACTTGTCTACACCTGAGTATTGTGATGGTCCTGTTGAGGAGCCTGAGAACATTGTAGATGAGATGGAGGAGTTTCTTAGCAAGCTGCATGATGACATTGAAGGAAAGTTAAAGGAGTCTATTGTTGGTATAGATGAAGTTAATGATGGATTGAATGATTTAAATTTTGTTGTGGAACAAAGTAATTCTGGATTGAATGATGTAAATGTAGGGTGGAAGAAACAAATGTTGAAGTGGAGCCAAATACTGATGGTCAGGTGCATGATTAATCCAATTCTGATGACAGTGAGGATGAGAGTTACCAATATGATAGTGCCCTAGAAGTAGCCTTTAACGATGAATATGATGGTTATGAGGACATTGATGAAAATGAAATTGCAGACCTGATTGTGTATGACAGTAATGAAATATCAAAAGGAAAAGGAAAAGTAAAGTGCAGCAAAGATACAGAGGAATATAAGGGGGGTGACAATGACAGTGATGATCTTCAAAGTGGTTGTGACAGTGATGACAATAGTGGGTTTAAAAGGAAGAAATACCTAATTTTGAAAGAGATAAAAGATATGGCCAATTACAAATGGGAATTAGGAATGTATTTCACTTTAAAGGATGACATTAAGGAAGTAATTGCCCCATATGCTGTTCAAAATGGAAAGACCATAAAAAATGATAAGAAAAGAGTGAAGGTGAGATATAAGGAAGGTTTTGAGTGGGAGGTTTATTTTTCCAAGTTATTAAATGAGGAAACCTGGCAAATAAGGAAAGTAATTGACAGTCATAACTGCAATAGGGAGTATAATATAAGTATGTTAAGCACAAAGTGGTTGAGCAAGAGGATTCAGAATGCATTGAAAAACATCCCTAGGTTGAAGGTCTAGGACATTAAAGAAAAGGCATCGAGGAAGTGGAATGTAGGTATAAACAAGACTAAAGCAATAAGAGAAAGAGTGGTTGCAAGGAATAGGGTTGATGGTTCCTTTTTGGGTGATTACACTAGGATATGACTATTGTCATGAACTGCTAAGTGCCAATCCAGGGTCAACAATTA